CACGTGGAGGCTGGTATTGCGCTGGCACGACGCTGGCACACGCACAACTCTAGACGAAGCCTATGGAAGCATATTAGGAGCAGAAGTAACAAACCTTATTTAGCTTCTATATTTCCCTTCAGTGGCTACATAAAAGATAGAGTACCCATTTAAAATTTTCTCAAGCTAGCACATTCCTTACCCTTCTAGATATATCGGAGCTGCGATCTAAATCCGATGAAGAGTCATGACACCGTAATCAATAAATGTTGATGTTTTTTGGACCTGAAGACTAGTGGCCGGCGAATAATTTGGAAAAACTGGTAAACCAATGACTAGTGAAAGGATCCTGTAGGGATCCTCATTTTCAGCTGCACTGGGTTTAGTGTATAGCAGATATTTCAGACTTTGTTACTGTAGCTCTACAAAAAATTTGGACTCGAAAGATTGCAATCTTGAATGAAAAATGAACCTTTATTTGAAGTGTTCGTATAATTATGAACCGCAAAAAATTCGCATTCATGGATCATATATCGTTTTCGGCTGTGCTCTATCGCATGATACCAATGGCTTTCTGTGATTCTTCCAAAAAGTCCAGAAACTTTCAAAATTTGGGGTGTTCGTATAATTGTGAACCGCACTATGAATTAGAGCAAAGAAGGCATTTCTGAAACGTAAGTAACTCTTGTAAACGCAATCACTCGGCACTTTCAGCTCTGAGCGATCAAAAGCTAACATTACGACTGCAATTTTTAAGTAACGAGGAAAAAATACTTTGAGAAGCACAAGCTCAGTCTTTAGTGTGCCATGGTGATCGAACGCGGTGTTGCACTCTCAAAACGTGAAAAATACGAACAGTACGGTTCAAAAATGGGTCTGACGTTCGTGGTCGTTGCAGTTAGTTTTTTTAATATATATTTTTGGACGAAAGCTTTTTCCCGGGAATATGCTAACATTTTCGTGCTACAGATCATATTGTCAATGGCATTGTGTCTCTGGGCGATGCAACCGAATGATTTCGCCGTCCGTTCCTCATACTGCTCATCTGCAACTGTCTCAACTTCATGGAAAATTATGGTTTTATGTTTCGGCTTATGCGGTGTGGACGTGATAACGTTACTTGGAATTTTCTTCCTTTATACATTCAATGATGCAGCACTAAAAAGGTATTTCATATAATTGAAGGAATCATATTGTTATTTTTCTTAACTACTTTAGGAAAATTTTCCACCTACACGTTACTTATCAACTTCGCGAAAATAGTCGCGTAATTCGCTTCATTTTTCCACTAACTCTTTTCCAAACAATTTGCTATGCATGTTCTACTGCATGTTTGGGCATGGTAGCTCTCTATCATGACTATATCTCCTTTCTCGCTTACAACATATTGTTTGCTGGAGCATATGTAAGTTCAAAAAAAAAAATTTGTATCTCGCTCATATTTATTTACTGTAGATGTAATTCAGCGTAGCAACGGCAAATCTTTTTAGTAAAAAATCTCTCTTTTAGATCATTCCCTATTACACCATGATCGCTCCAATAATCACATGGTTCATTATCAAGTGGTCTCAACAACTAAGAGAAACAAAACTCAAGGCTCTCCAACATCAAAATTCAAACGAAAAAGATGTCTACTTCAAAACTTATGCCAATATGTGGAAGTAATCAAAAATCATAAGAGCGACTAAAGGTTGTTTACGTGTAATAAAAGACGAAATTGTTGTTCAAGACTTTCATTTTTCTTCAAAGGTTGTGTGCATCCCATAGTCAGGCGCTCTGTAGAATCACAGCGTTTCAAATAATTAGTACAGCTATCATGACTCATAATAAAGCTTAATTTGAAGCTGTGTATACAGGGTGCGCCAAAATTACCGGCGCCAACATTACAAACACTGCCACCAAAAAACCATTGAAAGATACAAGCTCAAATCTGTGCCATAGAAGGCGCTAATCAATCTCTACAAAATACAATTTATTGTATTCAAAAAGACCTCTTTTTAAGAATTCAAGAATTAAAAGAATCAAACAAGTATTTACAAGAAAGGCAAAAATGAAAATTTTATATCTTCATAATTTGCTCTGTGACTGAATAAAGTCAAAGCTTTTTTAGACCACTCCAATCTGTGGTTGTAGAGCACGATTTGCACAATCACACAGGTTTAGCTGAATTTGCAGAATTTGTTCCTTCATTGAAATAAGAAAATGTATTTGCGGAAAATACCTGCGTACGAGTAATGAGATTATGTTGAAAATCGATTATTAGGCCCCAGATATGCAAAACCTTTCAGGTAAAAACAGAGTCCTATTCGTGAGACATGTAGAGGAGCATGTACATAGAAGCGACTAGTTGAGATAGTTCTGAATCTGATTTAGAAGACATTTTTTAATCCTAAGGCGCACTCAGGAAAGCCAAAATCATGCCAATTTTCGGTATGCCGCCTCTCAACCATGTCTTTGAATAATCAAAAATTCTCTTCGAGTTGATTTTCAAATTTCCATACCTGACTGCATCAGAGATGAAGGCTTGTTCTATTTTTCTGTGCAATTACAAAGCAGGAGAAAATGTCGTTAAAAAGATATTAAACAATTTCTCAAAGCCATGCTTGCGTACAGAGCACCTTCGGTCGGCGAGAGAAACTGAGATTTTTTCGAGAAATAAAGCAGCCAAATTCTGATTTCATTATTGCATTACGATAATGATGGTTGGTGAAAACAAACGCATACTTGATCGCTCCTCAAGCCCGTCTAGTATCCTTCTGGCACTCAAGGAAACACGCGCCGGTAATTTTGGCGCACCCTGTAGTATGTCCGTTACCAATTACTAGGAAGTTCCGAAAGTTCTGTCAGATTTGCAGATTTTCTATCCAGAATCTTTTGACTCCTTTCGAAATTAGCATTTTTAATCATCTTAAATTTTGCTGGATTGAGCGAGATTATGATTACCTTATAGTATGCCTTGTGGAAAAGTCAAGTAAGAAAGGAAAGAAAATTTGGAAAATTCTGCAAGGTTTTCTTCAAGACCACCGATTTTGACAAACTGATGCTTCCTTATAAGAATAAGTAGACTTATTAGCCTCATCAAATAACTTATACTTCAGAAAATATATAATGGCTAAAGAGAAATCCAGCGCGCGATGCCGACTTTCTCAGACTTGATTTTTTTCTAGCTGTCGCGAGTGAAAAAAGCTAAATAGCTGGTGGAACTCGCTTCCTCGCCATACTGTATATACATCGCTGAATACCTTACTTGCTACACGTAGATTGCTGTCGCTTGCTGAATAGCTAACTTTGACTGCGATCTTCGAAAAACAAATGTGAAAAGATATTTTCTATGTGGAAGATAAAGTGCGCGTTGGTTAGCTTATCAAACCCTTACCCATTATAAAATAATCCATGGGTCATTTTACGAACATTGCGGATTCTCTCTATAGAAACTTCTTCTCGAGCATGACACATTTTGGAACCTAAAGCTCTAGGCTTGAAATTTCATCGTTAGCTGGGTTATTTCATCTAGAGTTAGTATGCATTGTAAAGAGAAAGGGAAGTGCTTCCAGATATTCCTCAAAGTGCTGCAATAAGTGCAAGACTATAAGAAAATTAGCTGTGTTAAATTGGTGCAATCAAAAATTCGGACAGAACTTTCGGAACAGCCTAGTATAACATCCTACTATAATAACGCGCTAAGGGTGTTTACGTTTTTTTGTGTGTGTGTGTGTCTGAATGTCTGTCTGTCACGAAATTCATAACGCAAGTTCCAGCAAACGTCCTGGGCCCAAATTTTGCACAGCACATGCTACCAGCACAAAACTCCACCATGCGAAAGCATGAGCGGATTCGTTGAGTGGAACTCACAGAAATTGCGAGTCAAACGGGTCCACTTCGCTTCTGACTCACAAAATTGGGTCCCTATCAGCACTTTTTGCGAAGTCGTTGAGGTTTTTGACAAGTAAATGTGCAAGCCTTGGACTTTAGCCCAAATAATGGGCAAAAATCTACTACTTTGCGAAAATGACGCCAAAATGGATTAGTTGCGTAAATGGTCAATTTGAAAACGTCCTACTGGCGCATTTGAGGAGATTTTTGCGCAGAAGTGTTGCTCACGGTGGCTATTGGCCTTATAGCAACTACCAAACCATAAAAAATCCAGGAACCCCCTCAAATTTGCATTTGTTCTTCGGCAAAAAATTTCATCCGCGCGAAATCACCAATCTCACATGAAGAAGCCCTTAAAATGAATGGTTGTTTACATCCTATTCGTGGTAGTCGGCCACTGCGCGGTGAGTTTCAGTGCCACCATTATGGGAAAGTAATGAGGCATATGGATAGTAGAGCCAGTGCGAGCCTCTGCGAAGCAGAGGTGACGCACTGGTGACTTATAATAAGCCGCTAAATCTGAAGCTTTTTGGAGTTTGTGCGTTACTAAACTAAAATGAGGAATGATTTACAATACTTTAAGCGTTTGATACTTGATAGCAAGGGTGGTTCATTTTCAACTGGGTCGCTCGCTCAAAGGATCGGGCTTACTTCACGAGATTTCAGTCTCGACGCGATTTGGCAACATTCACACTATCCATAACTCATTGTCAGCACATTTTAGATGTACAGAAGATAGGGCATTTCATCAATCCACGTAAGTTATACACACTATGCATGTGCAGTTTGCTAGTGTTGTGCATGTGAAGGCTTCTGGCAAGTTGCCAAATCGCGTCGCGACTGAAATCGCATGGAGTATGTCGGCCCTTAAGGCCCCGGGCAGACTTCACGCGATTTGATCGTCACGACTGAATCGCGACGAAACAACTGTTACAACATCATTCTATGCCGATCAACTTGCATTCGGTTGTGATACTTTTCAGCCCGAAATTTTTGAATGTGAAATGAAAATGAATGGAAAACTTGGCGATTAGATCGCGACGATCGAATCGCGTGAAGTCTGTCCGGGGCCTAAGACAACTTTGGAATGATGTGAGAAACAAGCTGAAGCGTACGTTTACTTCATCACTTTCCGTAATGGCCAATGCGGGCCTCTGCGAAGCAGAGGTGGACTGGTTTCTAAATTATTTTTTTTTCTTGCTTTGTAAGATTGATTTTTATTTTTGAAAACGAATCAATGCTCTCAAATTCAAATTTCAAAAAATTTGAGTCGAAAATCTCAATATATGCAAGTGTCTACGTAATCTTACAAAGTGGCTAGTTTTTCATGAAAGGTCGCACTACAAGAGCAGAATCTTATGTAACCATAACCAATTTGTATTTTTAATCGCTAGACAAGTTTGAGACGTGACTAAACATTTTGCTTAACAACGCGATTATAGCGGCAAATCGCTAACATCGTTTTGACCTGATAACATTATTTGTCGACTGTAAAGTCCCATTTCTTTCAAGAAGCTTGAACCACTTGACGAATCTGCTTCACTGCGCCAATTTTTACGTTTTCTATCGCCCAGGCTGTATTCAGAGTAGTGCCCGTGCATTTACGCTTTTCAAAGCAGGAACCGGTTGCCATTTTTGGCAGAGAACAAAACGTGTCTCACGGTAACGTCCTTTATTGTGACCCATCATGCCAAACATATGCATAAGCAGGCACAAGTTACAAGCTCCAACCTACGCTGACCTCCGTTGACTACGTAATGTAATTTCACCTTTTTAGCAGCTGCACGCAATGAAACGAGCATCGCGCGAATTCGCCAAGATTGACGTAAAGTATCGCTCAGCAAGGAGGTGGAAGAGATTTCGATATAGTGGATTGACTTTCCTCGTCCACGACATTATTATCGAGTATTACTCAAATAATCGCCGGGGACAGGCGGTCCACGAACTTGCGCTTTTCTGCAGGCGGTCAGCAAAATTTTGGGGCGTGGCCAAACCTTCAACGGCGGTAATTCCTTTACTGTCGCATATTCTGCCAGCGGGCAGCAATATAGCATTTCTTGCGAGCGCTCGGCAAATAATTTTCAGCAAGCGCGGGCCAAACTTTCAGCTGGCGCTCGGACTCTTTTTACGCAGTTTAGGCGTACGCCTACTCAGATAATCGCCGGGGGCAGGCGGCCATGCGAATTTTGAGCAAGCGGGCACCGGAAAAATAGTTCGTTGATTTCTTGCGGTCCGCTTGCAGATATTTGGAAGAATTTTAGCGAAATTTTGAACGAATGCTTGGAGAACAATCGCGGTCTCCTTACAGATTAGCTGCGGCGCAGTGGCCGCATTCTCGCGGACTTTCCGCGAGAATATGCAAAATTTTTGGGTGCCGCACGGTCCTTTGTGGAGGACCGCGCAGCCCCCAGGTTCTTTCCGCTGAGAGAAAGTACCTCAAACTTGAGTAATTAAACCATCGATGACACCTCTGCCATGTAGAGTCTCACCTTTGCTCGGCGTACGCCCGAAACTGGGTAGGACATTAGACAGTAAAGGAAGTGCCGCCCGCTGAAGGTTTGGCCACGCCCCAAAATTCTGCTGACCGCCTGCAGAAAAACGCGAGTTTGCGGACCGCCTGCCCCCGGCGATTATCTGAGTAGCGGAGGTGAGACTCTATGTGACAGAGGTGTCGTCGATGGTTGAATTACCCGAGTTTGGGGTGCTTTCTCCTTGCGCTCCAGCATTTGCATGGAAAGTCCGCGAGAATGCAGCCACTGCGCCGCAACTGTGCAAACCACGATCGTTGTCCGAGCATTCGTCTAAAATTTCGCCGGAATTCTCCCAAATACCTGCAGGTGGACAGCAAGAAATCAGCGGGCCATTTCCCCGGTCCTCGCCTGCCCATAAATCGCATGGCCGCCTGCCCTTGGCAATTATTTAAGTAGTTGCTCTGCTTATTAAAGGGCAAGCAAGTTTATTAGAGTAATAATGATAGCGGATGAAGTACAAACTCCAATAGTGGATAGTTCATTTTTGACTCTGCATTCATGGAGTTTTGCTTGGAGGATAATCACTGTGCGTTTTCATGGAAGACCACAATGACATCTTTGAACAGTACTATTGCAGTTAGTGATGACATGTCAGCTGCATCCGCTGCGTCCGCATACTCGTGGACAACATCGGACGAATGTTTGACTGTAGGAAATGCTGAAGAACTTTTGAGTTATGCAAACTGGACACCGTATTACAGCTCTCAATCCGTGTTCTTATAGGTAATTCCGAAAAAAGTGGGCTAAAAACGGCAAAAAGCGACCGAGATAGCGAAAGTGAAGTTGATGATGCACTGGAAACTGCTAGTGAGATTTTACAACGTTATTCAGCAGGGCAGTGGCGGTTCCAACATTTCCGTGGGCGAGGGAGAAGCGACGAAAAAACTTTCGAGTACTCAGTTAATCACCGGGGGCAGGCGGTCCGCAAACTCGCGCTTTTCTGCAAGCGGTCAACAGAATTTTGGGGCGTGGCCAAATCTTCAGCTGGCGGCACTTCCTTTACGATCGCATATTCTGCCAACGGGCAGCAATACAGCATTTTCTGCAAGCGCAAGACAAATAATTTGTTTCAGCGAGCGCTGGCCAAATTTTCAGCAAGCGCTCGGACTCTTTTTAAGCAGTTTCGGGCATACGCCGAGCACAGGTAAGACTCTGTGTGGCAGAGGTGTCACCGTTGCTTCAACTCAAATTTGAGGTACTTTCTCTCAGCGGAAAGTACCTGGGGCTGCGCGGTCCTCCACAAAGGACAGTGCGGCCCTTGAAAATTTTGCGTATTCTCGCGGAAAGTCCGCGAGAATGCGGCCACTGCGCCGCAGCTAATCTATAAGGAAACCGCGATTGTTCTCCAAGCATTCTCTTTTCGCTCAAACTTCCAAATATCTGCAAGCGGACAAGAAATCAGCGAACTATTTTTCCGGTGCCCGCCCGCCCATAAATCGCATGGCCGCCTGCCCCCGGCGATTATCTGAGTAAAGGCGTGGCGTCAGCCACACTCAGAAAATTTTTTTGGGATGCTTCTTTTTTCTTATTCTCACAAAATGTTTTGGACTCGAACCTGTAAACAGAGAGAGTAGGATAAGGAGTACGATGATTAATGTGATAGGAAAAGGGGTACATTTCACCTCGGCCAATTCACTATGATTAGTGTCGGACTTGAAATGTGTGATGGATCGATGGGTTTATGCAGCGAAAAGTTCAAAAATAAATAAATTCAGAGAATCAAAAAAAACTTGGTTTGAGAATGTGCACATGCCCTTGCCTATCAACTCTCAGAATCAAAATATAGCTAGTACCTTATATTTTTATCAACAACCTTACTTACTCCCCCACTCCTACAGCTCCTTATACCAAGTCTCACCACTTTTTTATAAAAAAATATGTAGATAAAGCTTGAACAGTGATTTTTTCAAAGATCAGATTCTTTGAGCGTTCTTCTTATCTCCTGCACTCTCTTTGAGAAGTTCTGCAAAAAATCGGCAAATTGAAAAGGATAATGTTGTATTTATGTGTTACGTTTGCATGACTTCTGCTCATAGTTTGCTGAAAAATCGGTGTTGGTTGATGGATTGATAGTCTATGTCCTGGGTCAAGCAAGAGGTGTGGCACACAATGCGAGATGCTACCCCCATCCCCTTCCTAGATGCTGTCTCAGTAAAACCCTCTGAACTATTGCATACTTGAAATAAACTCAAATAACTTGAGGCCCCTACCAAGCACAACGAATAGTACATTTACAATCAGCATGGTAAATAACCCCTGTGGCCAAGTTTGAGCGAATTCTAAGGTTTCCAAATATTGGGCCACCCAAGTGAGATGGTCATTTTCGAACATAATTAACTTTGTTTCAAAGGAGCGACCCCATTTGGCACTAATTACAAAGCACTACTTCTTCTTTGCCCACCACAGAGATACGGCTTCAAAAAACTCCAAGCTCTGGGATTAGAAGTCAACCAAAATCTCAAGTCCATTTTTGCTTTGATGGCTATACTTTCACCGACTATTACTCGAAGCAAAAAGACGAATCGGGCTCGAATTGTTCATGTGAGCTCTACGATTTAGGACCGATTCAAGTAAGTGCTCTTCGCTAAAAATGTTTCTCAAGGTAAATTAATGGTGCGGCACAGCCCCAAGAAAGGTGTGCGTGCCACATGTTTTTGGAGTTGTGGCACTCCACCTAACTATGTTACAAAAACATTTTTAGCGAACAGCATTTACATGAGTAGATGAACTGAACATTGTAAATTTCACAGGAGCGATTTGGAACGACACCTACTGGGTACGTGCGATGTTTCGGACGCCGCGACCACCATGAGGAGGATTTCTACGGGCCCTGCAGTCTGCTGCGTTCTGCTGCGGTCAGTCCTGCAGTATGAAACAACCCTAAGCCAGTAATCAGTATGCTAGCATTTGGCATAGTGGACCTATCTGACATTGTTAACACATATTTCGTTATCTTAACATCGGTATCACCTCGATAACGACCTCCCTCCCCCTCCCTGACCCCTTAATACGACCTCAGGTGTGGCGTGTTACACACTATGCGATATGGTCTATGACACCTGCTATGCTTGGGAAGGTGCATTGCGGTACCTAAGAAATAAGTATTAGAGGAAACCAGTTAGGCCAACAAATATATACATATATCTTCATTGTAAGACGAAAACAGTTCGATATTTGTTGGCAACAAAGAAACTTATTTGTTAACAAGAAAATATATTTGGTAACCGTGGCATTTGTGCATTGAGATAAATTCCAGTAGGTGCGCCTTAGAAAGCTTATTCCAATCTATGTTCGTTATCTGCTATGCATTTCTCTGAACAAGGCTATGGACTTTTTTCATGCTAATTTTACGAGATCCAACCAGTCAGAGTAGTCAGTATCCAAGATTTTAGATTCTGATACATCGGAAACATTTTTCCTCAGCTTAATATAAAACTTTTTGATTTGGACTTCTTAGTGCGTAGTGAACATTCTAACGATATTGGTAATATATGTTATCAAAACAGTTTGTGACATAAAATGTTCAAGCGCACAGCAGATACCAAATGCAGAATTGGAATCAGCGCTTCAAGATGCACTTAATGGTGTATAATTCATTTCAAAAGGGCCATCATTTCAAAACTCTACGATCACCAAGTATCTTTAGAACGACGCTCGCTGACTCTTTCCTTTTTTTAGGTGAGCCATTTGTTATAACTCCGCTCAGCACTGCAATCACAGGAAGTCTGTCATGGTATAGCATGCCACCTTCGGAAACCAATGTTGAATGTACTTTTTCGGCAATTCACAAGTGTTAAAAGTGCGCTAAAAGGTTTGAATTCAGTTCCCAGCAAAATTGGAAAAGAAGAAATTGTTGAAGTTAGTGACGAAATTTGCTACTCCTATGGATGTGTTCTACCTAAGAACATAGAGAAGCCGAAATTCATGTGTGCGTGTTCCCTTTGATTCAACTTGATGGCTAGGTGACCGCTCGCACACAAACCGCCATCCAACTGCTCTAAAGGCAAACACGGTAATGGTTCCGCACAAGTCCTTCACCATGGGCGTAAGAAGGTTTGTGTGATAGAGCGGCCGTTTTGCGAAACAGAAACTCAGCAATTCGCCCCTTTCTACTCGCATTTGGAGTGGGGCTTGTGCACCTGAAAACGGGGTAAGTTAGGTTTTGAAGACAAAGCACATCTCATCAATAGTTAAGCCGTAAGAACCCGGACTGTGGTAATAATAGCAAAGTTGCTTTCCATCGCGTAGGTGAAAACGGCTGCGTAGTGCGTAAGTGCTAACAATAGCAGGCTAACTGCTTCTCAAAAATTTATGGTAAGATCACATTTCCTGGCTAATGATGTCATGTGTAATCTAAGAGATGCTGACAAGGGAATGGTTGGCATTTTTTAGTTAAATTTAGGTATGGTTTGAAAATACTTAGTTGCAAGATTTGAACTAGCGAGTCAAGCTTGGAACTGAAATTTTTCAATTCTGCACTTTGTATGCACGGTTTTTATGCGAAATAATGGCTCCTAGTCTTGTGCGAGGCTTTCAGCAGAGAAAAAAAAACAGAATGAAGTCATTGTTCTATGCTACATTCAATGGTATGCAACTTGACTGGATTGGCAACTTCGAATTTTGACCATTCCCTTGCAAATTTTTTTGATTAGTTAGTAGCATGCCCTAAATTTTTTCTTATGTTCTGTAATAAAGCACTAAATTGAACATCTTGTTTTTATGCATTTACAAAAACTCTTAATATGCAATGCATTGAATGTCGCAAAAGTTATAAGCTGAGTATCTACTTGGAAATCGCATAAAATCCTACAAATGCCTCAGAGTTGTATGTGTCTGTATACAAAGTTAGTCTGACCGTTTCTCGTTCACAGGTATCCCAGGAGAAATCAAAGAACTTGTCTCGCCTATCCATTTGGTAACAGAATGCGTCTATTCTGAGGATGTTCGCAAACCTACATTCTTTTGCAAGTGTGAGTCCCGATACTTTTTAGCCATAAATCTTAAAGAAAATAATGCATTTCATGCAGTTTTGATGGAAGTACTCAAATGTGGACCACAAGATTCCATGAATGGCAAGTTTTCCTTAAAACAAACTTATCTAAGTGCAAGGAGCCTGTGTACTTTTGTAACAACTTTGTCATCCATGACGTCGCTCCTTTGATAAGATTCGCATTATATCTCAAATGTTGCTTCCTTGTGCTTTCTGGTGCATATTCCTTTTGTTTTCCGTTTTAGCTATGTCTCCTTGAAAACTTTGTATCGTTAATTCGCTTTCGCTAGAGTAGGCGGAGCACTATTTACGTACACGCGGGGCGGCTTCTGATGGCGAGAGCGTACAAAAAACAATGCTCTAGGATAGAGGTTTATCCGATCACATGTCATGTCATGTCTGCAGTGGTCCGCCTACTCTAGCGAAAGCGAACTAATGATATTTATAAAAAGTTGTCAGGACAAGATTTCTTGATTATACACTACTTTTCTAAACTTAAAAGGCCGTATAGAAGCATATCAACCAGGCTCTGTACGAAGGACAATTCACAAATACGCACTATTCCTTAGCATCGTCAAAACTGAGAAGAACAAAATTTGGAACTCAAGCAACTTTTGCAGGCGTTTCGTAGCTTGTGCTAATTTCAATATGAAAGCAGTGGGCAAGACTTATTTTCTGAGTATTGAAACAAAGCTCTAAAATACTTTTTGCGAAAGTAGCCTTGTTGCAGACAAGAAAATTCTGCAAATTCTGACCCACAAAAGAAGCTAAAATTGTGAACAGTTTTACTTGTAAATTGAGATTGATGTCTTGTAGCCAACGTCGGAATTGTTAAAAATTTTATTGGCTAGCGTTTCGGCTTCTCGCCTTCGCCAGAGCTATCGAATTTCATGCATTATATTTTTTAGATCGACTACGCGAACCACGTATCAATAGTAAATGCAATCATCATAGAATCTTTTGGCGTAAATACCCTCTACACAAATGTGAGCAACGAATCCGCGATGCAAGCCATATGCAAGCTGCTAATATGCCGTGAAAAGTCCCTTAACCTTCAGGCCTTTCCATATCACAATTCATAGCTCTGTTGAAAGCGTAATTAGAATGTAATACTTTTCGATGGTCTGGGAGCTACTTCAGGCAAATACTAGGAATAGCAATGGGACAACGCTTAGCGCAGGTACTCGCGATAGCATTCATGGTTAAAATGGAAGCGCCTGTTCTAGAACACCGTCCTTTACTTTACTGTAGATAAACTGATGATTGCTTTATGATTTGCGCAAGCAGAGCTTGATGAATGTTTTAAATTACTCAGTAAGCAATCAGTTTATATAAGAATGACGAAGGAGAAGCCGAAAAACGACTGGTTATCATTTTTAAACGTTAAAATGAACATCACCAGCGGGTATGCACGCGACGAAGTGGTACCGTAAACCAAGCAGTAAGACTATCCTGACTCATTTTCAATCCGCTCACCCATTTGGACAAAAGGAGTTGTTATCAAGAATATGTTTCGAACAGCTTCGCAGGTGTGTGGAGAGCAAGAAAGAAAAGAATCACTTAAGCTTGTGCATTGCATAGCTTCTTTGAATGGGTACGAAAACTTCACAGGTATAGCGAAGCACGAAGAAAGTTTGCGAGACTTACCCAATAACGTAAAGATTCCTTTCTACCTCCCGTTTGTATCCTTCGAAATAAGTACAGCAGTGCGCATGAGCCTTAAGAAGGTAGGACTAGTTGATTTGGTTTCGATAGCAGAGGTGCCACTGAACAACCTGAAGCGCATTTTGGTAAGAAATCGCGTGTATGACAGCAGCTGTACTACGGACAATCGTAGCATATGTCCAGGAAATAAAAGCGGAGTGTATGTCAACTGAATGGTCTACTCCATCGGTACCGTCTGCGGATACGAGTATGTATATAAAATCCCAAGTTCTCTATGCATTCGTGCAAAAGAACACCTAGATGGCAGGGATAAACAGCGAGCTTCCACTCCGTTAAAAGCACATAAAGTACCAAGGCATGAAGGATCGAGTTTTGAAGTGACTGTAAAAATATTAGCACGTGAGGAACCCAGAAATTGACCGAAAAGAAGAATGCCTTGCAATTACGAGAGAGATGTTTCGTTATCTGAGCCAACTGTACTGACCTTCCATTTAGTACTTCCATACACGGTCTCTTCCAAGGTCGTTCTATTAAGGGGTTCTTTGTGGGATAAGCAACTGTTGCAAAAACATTGGTCAAAATTAAGGCTAGACCTTTTTTCGTGAGGCCGTAAAGACATGTGCTCGTCTGGGTTACGAGTCGATACCCCATTCAGGCTCTGAAAGCGAGAAGCCGAAATGTGAACCAATAAATTTTGTAGCAAGCCGGCTGGCTACAAGACATCGATCTCAATTTATGATCTATGCCGAGATTTGTCGAGAGACGTACATGCAATTTGACTTGTGTTAGCTGGCTTATCCGACTCCTGCCATGCCAGAAATACGTTAGAACTCACATTCGCAGTCTCACTTCTTCACATCAGCCCCTTGTCCTATCCCACTTCCATGTGCAAGCTCCCCTCCTTACTGTTCGTTTGACAACATGTTCCATTCATCTCCTGTGTCAATTCCCAGCAAAATCTGCAAATCTGATAAAGTCGTTAAATCGAATGGATACTCTTTCAGACTAGTTTTTGTCAAAAGCATGCCCATTCACCGCTCCATCTTCTGCTCATCGCAGCTGTTTTTCAAAAAATCGATGAAAAAATTATTATTTGGGTATTCGTCGCCATTTCAAGTTGTATGCACAGGCTATCTAAGTCTCGGCTGCATCAGTAGTTGGATCCCAGGCGGCAGCACCGCGTAAACTCTCCGCCTTTCTACGATGCTCACTTTGAGAGACAACTGATGGCATTATGCAAACATGCCTGACTAGTAGGTTTTGATCGTTCTCACCCTTTTTATTGTGTATCATCCTCTTGATTTATGACGTCTCATCCAGCGGCCGTATTCATCAACGAACTTAGTGGCCTGGAATCCAGTAGTGAAATGGAACCCCCTTAACCCAATGGGTGAAGTGGGTTCACCATCTCCAGTCTTTGTACTATTTTTCTTTTCTATCGATATAACGGATCACTCTAAACCAAAAGCGTCAGCAGCTTGACACGCTTTCGGGAATTCTTATGTTCGAATGACATGAATCAATGTCTTTTGCGACAAAACTTGCACTTCCTTTATTCTATTGGTTATTCGAATATTTTCGATGAGCTAGACATGACTGTCGGCAATGATATGTGTAGAAATGGATGCCGAAAAAGGACTTTATTATAACCTTCTTTATCGTTTTTGTCTGAATTCATAAATATTGTTAATGGAATAGTTTTAAGTAAGATGTTTTTTTTTTATAATTTTTGTGTATTTTTTAATCTCGTTTTATTATTCACTATTTTTGATTGTCAGTTGTATAATGGGAATTTAACTTTATTAATTATTTAGCCGTTTTTAGTAATGATTATTGGGAATTAAATCGTGCGTCATTTGATTTTGCGGAGGGTGAAAGAGAATTGGTGGGAGGGGGGGGGGGGGGTATAATAGGAAGTAATGCTTTGTATTCACTATAAAAAAGGTGACTGATTCCCTTTTGATATATAGTTTGTCATGTTCAAAAATGACCACGTCACCTTTGTTTTTAATATTGGGAGCCCTAAAATTGCCAAAACTTGGCCCACAGGGGTTGTTTGACAAGATGAACGAATATGTCATTGATTTTGCTTGTTAGAGCCTCCATGTCATGCCTATGGTAGGCAATGATAATGCAGGAAGGGGGGAGGGGCGGGAGTCGTACTTGGCGGTTGTGTGCCACACCTCTTGCTCGATTCTGATAACCCTTTTCGTCGATTCTGTTTGCACTATTAGTGTTTGTTCTTTTCGTACCACGGCTACATGACGTTAAGGAGTCTTCACAGATGCGTGGGTGTCAGCGGAATGCATGTGTGCAATGTCTTGGGTTGCAACAACAGACTAATAGCATTTTAGGTTAAACCAGTTGCGAGTTCCATTCTGTTGTGGAAAAGAACTGTAGCACTGATCAACAGCACTTTATTTTATCACAATACTAGTTGGCAAACCCGGCTCCGCGCGGCCCTGTCAATAACATATTTGTAATCAGCATGCTTGATTACCCCCCCCCCCCCTTCCCGCTGTGCCAACTCCCAGCCCCGTAGCTCAAATTTTGCAAAAAATCAATAAAATCGATATCGATCGATACAAAAAGTAGCCTATGACACGCTCCCTGCCCCGAAGTGTATGTGTGCCAAGTTTGGTCCAAATCGGTTCAGAAATATAAATTTCTATTCCGCACATACGTACAGACAGACATACAGACAGACATTCAGCTTTATATATAAGATTATGATGAGGTTTCCTAAGGGCTAAGAGCGCGTGGAAACGAAACGATTTGAAATGGCCAAGAAAACTCGGTGTTTGTGTTGCCTCGCAAAGACGAGGCGGTTGCGTGATGCGCAGGCTGCTGGTGCCCCCGTTCTGCAGTCTGCAACTGGGATAGCCTGTATGCAAGGATTTGGCAAGGAGTTCAAAATTGCATCTATGACTGTTTTTTTTTTCAAGAACGACCCTTTTATGGGTAGCCTTGTCGAAAAGATACTGTTACAGGAGAACACGTAGCAAGCGAATACGACACGGCAATTGAAGCTTGAGTCAGATTTTCTGTTAGTTCAACAACAAGAATGCACATTTTTCTTTGTTAAATAAGCCACTCTTTTAGGATTTTTATGACAATTGTGACAAAAGCTGCTCAATACGTGCTCCTTCTGTCTATGGTATACCAAGACGGAGATTTTGTAGATATTTTTTAGTAAAATAAAGTTTTGGTCTTCTTCCCTGTTTTATAAAAATTTCTGTATAAAATAGTGCAGTATGATTCGGAACATCGAAGATTATGCGCTTTTCGCATTCGATTGAAGTGGAATGAGTAAAGGTTTCATACAGTATTGAGGTAATTAGCATTTGCAGAAAGCTGTAACAACCATGTCGCTCGATTCCGGGGAGAAAATTCAGTAGACGATTCGCTTCCTGATCTTTCAGCGTAATTTACCAACTTTCGGTTCTAAAGACGTACTTACACTTTCAAGCGCAAAAAATAGGAATAAAACCAAGATTGTTTTTCTACATGAAATTACCAGAACATAAAAGGGCAAACTTTTAAGCTGCTCAGTTTATCTGTAGTACTGACTAGGGTTTTTGCAACCGTAGTTTGACCCCAATACAGGCCTCTTAAGCACTTCAACAACACAACTTCACCAAAATTTGATCCTCGCAAATGTGTAAGCTCATCCTTTCTAAGGTTCAAAAATAACACTTACGAATTGTGCTCTCCGAAAGTCCAGTAAGAGCTGCTGAGTTTGACAAATGAGACACTTGACAAGCTGCATGCTTCAAACCAAGTTACATGATGAGCATGCTACGATGCGCTCTTTCGCAAACGTGCCAGTTTGAGATAAAGTAACAAAGTGAATCATGAAAGGTGAAGAATCAGGGAGCATTCCTTTACGCCCCACTGTCCCATCGTTTGCTGCGGATCTAGGAACGATATTGTTTGAATTCCTTGCAATAGCGGCATAATGCTCTAAGAAAGACTCATGATTGATTCACTGCCGAGCAATTAGCACGAATCTAATAGATAATAAATACGTAAATCGTAGTTTTTGAAACCGAAGTTCCTAGCACTTTCTGATTTCTTTTGCCTACAATGTTTGCATATTCTAATCGTTTTCATTCTACAGTCCCAATGTTTCCGTTTCGTTCCGCTAGACTGCCTAAAACTTTGGGCGTTCAATAATCTTATCTCATCTAACAACATTCAAATGTAATTCTCAGAATTCTCTGACGGCGATAGACAGATCTTCTCAGGATTGTAAAGAAACACCGTATCGCACAGTTCATCAAGCGTAGGATCCACTAACTTTTTCAAGCCAATATTCGCGCTGCGTCGTTTCGAAGAATCATGACGCTTCAAAATGTATTGTTAGCATTACAGAATTTTATTTAATATGAACACTTATAGTAAAGATGACTTTATAGCTAGATCTCATGAACAATTGTATCACCCAGATGATACAAATGACTTCAGGTTTATTTACCTACTTTGAAACTGCTCGAGTTGAACAGTAGCAGAAAATTTATTTTAAGGAAATACGAGAGGCGCAAGGATCTACAGGGCATACGTGCCATTGCGATCATCGCGGTATTACTGTTTCATTTTTTCCCAAAATATTCGCCTAATGGTCACGTGGGAGTGGATGAGTAAGTTTGTCAAATGACAAAAACTGTAACAATTAGAAAACTAGTTATTTCATTTACTTTTGATGTGCACTTCATAAAACCGCCTTTGAAATTCACTTAACTTTATTGGAAGGGTTTCAAAAATGACTGTCATTGTGAACTAGTAAACAATTATCACTGATTGCTCAATCATCTAGATTCTTCGTGCTGTCTGGATTCCTTATGTCCTTGGTCGCTGATCGCCACGAAAACTTTGGCTGTTTGGAAATTGCTTCATTTTATTATCGACGAATAAAGCGCATTCTTCCTTGCTATTTTCTAACAATACTGTTGTCTTTATCATTCTCACAGCTGCTTCTACCGGTCGATATCCAAGCTGTGAATATGAAATCTGCAATGTTTGCTTGTAGCTTCACAACAAATCTAGCAGCTATTGACGAATCAAGAGAATATCAGCGTATGGTGAGAACAAACCTTTGAAGGCTTTTTTATCACAAAAATTTCCATAAGGAAAGAATAACATAGTATTTCCTGGGCAAGGAAATTTGTCTTTGCTGCTTGGCTTTTCTTACTTACATTGCGAGTTTACACGGATGTAATTGTTAAGATTTATTCTGTAGTTTTTAAAGCATTCTGGTTGGTCCATTTTTTGTTGCGATGTTTACTTCATTGCCCTCAATTGATGAATACCAGGTAAGAACTATATGCCGCCGAAAAAGGGCGGTCCCCGCGGTCACCTGTGACAAATACGCATCCTTCTATATACGCGGACATGCGTTCCTGCAGAAAATCCGCGCGGGACTCTTCCACATTTGGCGACATATAGTCCTCCCACGTCTTTCTTTATTTAGTCACTTAGCCCTTCTTTTACACAAATCTCCTGCTTGTGTTTACATTCACCAAAACAGCATTTGAGATTGACGACAGCTGAATGATATCTTAGAACAATGAAAGGTTTACTGCTCAAAATTTTTGGTAAAATTTGAAATGGAAGCTAGTATACAAGCGATATTTTTATGAGCCAAGAAAGCAGATGAAATTTTACGAAATCATAATATCAGCCACGCGCCTTCATTTCACACTTTGTGAGTGCATGCTACACTTACTGTTTTTTTTTTCGTGCACCCAAATGCGATAACGCCGTGTGTTGTGTGTTCGAGCAAATCTCCTTTAGTTTCCTGATAGGTTGCATTTCAAATTTTAGTTAGAAGTTGCTGAAGACTTGTTTACCCACACATGGTCTGTCGCTGTGGAGGTGCAATTCTACACAATTTTTCCTCTGCTATTTTTGGTTCAGAAATCATTTGGGCGGACGAAGATCTCACCTTTAATGATTATTGGTATGTCCCAGTTTGTAGCTATAACAGTCACAAATTCATTGCCGTTTGAACAGGTTCAATCTCATTTTATTACTACTTAACGACATCTCCAACAAAAGCATTCAATCTTGTACAATACAGGATTTGGCAATTTGTGCTCGGTATGCCATCTTCATTGTTTCCACCATTCTCAGGCAATCGCCGGGGGTAGACGAACCTCAAACTCGCGCCTTCTTGCAGGCAGTCAGCAAAATTTTGGGACGTGGGCAAACTTCAACAAGCGTTACTTTCTTTACTGTCGTATGTTCTGCCAGTGGGCAGCAATACAGAATTTTCTGCAAGCAGTCGTTAAATAATTTCTTTCAGAGAGCGCTGACCAAAGTTTCAGCTAGTGCTCTGACTCTTGTTACGCAGTTGAGCGGTAACATCATACCTTCGATAGTCTAGAAAAGGCGTCAAAAGTGAAGGTTGTTTGGACATCTGACCTCATAAAAAGTGTTGTTTAGAGAACATCAGAGAAGAGAAAATGATGTAAAACAGATATAAATAGCAAACGAAACTGAAAATTGGATAAAAACGCTGCAATGAGGTTTGAAATCTTTCATTTAGCGGCTTTTCAAAGTGCAACTCTTCGCTCTAGGACCAGCGCTTCGCAACGCGAGGGAAGCGAAGAAGAGCTAATTTCTTTTTTGCGATTGTATCAAAAAACCTGTTTCGAAAGGAGTGTTTCAAGAAGAAGATAAAGAGGAAAGAAATTAGTTATGAAAACGCAAAGTTCCTTTTTTTACTAAGTCGAGAAGAACGTCGAAGCCAAATTCAATTTTTGATGCGTCCTTCAAACTTTATCCCCGCATTACCTCGTTGCTGTTTCCTGGGACGTTGCCTGGACTGTTGCGCTTGTTGTTCTGAGCAACAATCGCCCAAGTTGGAAAAATCGCTGCGAAAGTACTGAAACAGAACGAGGTAAAGAGTGCAAGAAATTCCACCATAATCGAAGAGTAAAAGGCTGGGTGGTTGTCCGCATTATAAACAGAAGCAAGATCTATAAAATGCACGAAAAATTGCGTGAAAAGAGTTAAACTATGAGAGAAACAAGAGATTTTCGAAAACAAGGTTTTTGCCGATTTTTCGATTAATTAAAAAATGTGGTTTTGGGACGTTGTCAGCGTGAAAGTAGAGATCAAGAGCTTTAAGATGTATATACAAGGGTCAAAAAAAATGTATCGAACGTTTGATCGTTAATATCTCTCTACTAAAGAAGTCTTTTCTCTTGCTTCAGGTACCAATCTGTAGAGCTGGCTTTGAGTTAGCATTATAGAACGAATCACTCATTTTTCTTCATTTTTGTAGGATTACGGTAGAAACTTCCAAGAGGGTTTTAAGCAATGAAAGGCCATATTTTGCCTCAGAAAGGAAACAAAATAGTCTGAAAGCTTTTACACTAGGCTAATTAGAGTTACTAATTACCTGTAAAGTTCCCATTATTTTGATGCTTGAAAGGTTATGCTAGGTAAGAAGTATCGGCCATTTTTCAATGTTCCTAAAAAGTGCGGTTACACCGCTTAGAAAGCTTCGTAATCTTGTGATTAGTTGAGTATTGAACTCAGCGTCCATAAAAACTCTATTACACAAGTTTTCACGATATTTAAAAGTTTTGAAACGGCAGCTTTTTCCACATTGACACCATATGTTTCAAGTTTCTACCGTAATCCTACAGTAATAAAGAGAGATGGGTGATTCGTTCTATAATGCAAATCTAAGTTGAAGCTAGCTCTACAAAACAGTACCTGAAGCAATGCAAAAGACTTCTTTGGAAGAGAGATATTAACGATCAAACGTTCGATACATTTTTTTGGGACAGCCTGTAAATCGTGCTAAAATTGAGTTCAGAAACAGAATTAACCTCGGAAACAGCGAAAAAAGGTAACGGAGCCAAATGCCCCGCGCCCCGCATTTGGGGTAACGAGGTAGCGCGCAGCGCGTGGAAACGCAAACGGGCAGCGGAGACAGACCAGAGCCGACGGAGCATTCGGCTCTGGTCGTAGATCTCGCTGGGTCTCAACGAAACCATGCAGTGTTATATATCACTCTGGTCGTCATGATACACAGAGGAGAACTGGCAACGTCTCAAGCGTTGAAAATCACTTATTAACGAGATAGAGCGTTTTAGTGCGCGACTCTCTGCGCAAGATTTAAGCGTTTCTCTTTTTTATTCAACTCCGACAGCTTTCCTAAACCTCTGAAACTTGATTTTGGTCACATAAGAGGTTAATTGAGAAACGTTGTCCTGAATTCTGGCGAAATTCCACAGAAACATTCTTTTTAACGTGAAAAAGACTATGAAAATGCAAATTTTCTGTTTTGCCTAAAGACCTAAAGATATTATCTTATATATAAAGCTGAATGTCTGTCTGTGTATGTATGTATGTCTGTCTGTACGTATGTGCGGAATAGAAATTTTTATTTCTGAACCGATCGGGACCAAACTTGGCACACATATACTTCGGGGCAGGGAGCGTGTCATAGGCTACTTTTCGTTATCGATCGATATCGATTTTATTGATTTTTTGCAAAATTCGAGCTAGAGGGCTGGGATTTGGCAGAGGGGGGTAATCGAGCATGCTGATCACCCCGAAGGGGGTGATCAGCATGCTCGATTACCCCCCTGTGCAAAATCCTAGCCCCCTAGCTCAAATTTTGCAAAAAATCGGTAAAATCGACATCGATCGATAACGAAAAGTGGACTGTGACAAGCTCCGTGCCCCGAAGTGTATGTGTGCAAAGTTCGGTCCCAATTCTATTCGGAACATACGTACACGGGTCTAGCTGGCAGGCCCGGCGGAGCCGGGCAAGCCAGCTAGTTCCCTATATGCTTTATTAACGTTCATTCCGGGGGAAGTCCACGAGAATGCGGCCAACTTGGGCCGCAACTTATCCGTAAAAAGACCGTGATACTTCTCCGAGCATTCGCCTAAAAACTGGCCAACATTTTTTCAAACACCTGCAAGCGGACCGCAAGAAATCAGCGAACTACTTTTTTCGGTGCCCGCCTTGCCCAAAAATTGCATGGCCGTCTGTCATCGACGATTATCTGAGATTGATCTGAAACCGCGATTCAGGTATGTTCATTCAACAGCAACAAGCATCGAACAAAGAGTGTACGTATGCCTCACTTCTTCAAAACGCAAGCGTTGAGAAGTTGTGACGATATGCATTCCAGATAAGCATCACTTTCTTGGGTTGCTCTTCTATAATCTTTGTCTAATCTGTATGCTAGTGCTTAGCTTATACATACTGCCAATACAGCAAACTTTTGCAAAGTATGTTTCCTTGTGTAGAACATCTTGTTTTGTTAGTCCAAGGAACTCACAACTTCCAAACCTTACTCGAATTCTGCCATAGTGCTCTGCCTCAATGATCCCTTGCTCAACATAATACCGGGCTATCGCAAATACCGGTCTTCAATGTCTTTGTCTCAAAGAAAACTGACTTGCAGGGTTTGAAAATACACACGACAATATGTTTCGAAGAAACAATGCAGGAATTTGCTTTATCAGTTTTTGAGGGCACACACAAACCAATCTTTCTCATTCAACATTTGTCTCATTCCTTTCGAACATTCACTTGCATAAACTCTAAATTGCTCTAATGCTCAGCTTCTCAATTCCAAATAGGTGGCACAGCAATTAGCACCCTAATAATTGAGCACCCCACTTAACATACTGTTTTTGATGTAAATGAGCTTGAATAAGTAGAAATTGGCTGTTGATTAAGCGGCAGGGAATTTTTGATGATGGTGAACCCAGTCACTGAACTCCAAAAAATGTCTACAATAAAAAATGTAAAATGATAACAAATTCTATTCTGAAAAAAGCAGACAAATAGCTGCACCACGTCGCAAAGTGGATGAAGAAACTAATCTATTACGATATGTGTTCTTATCTCAGTTCATCGTAAATGAACTTCTCAAAAACCGAGGATGATACGCATGGTTGAAGGTACCCTTGAAAGCTTGAGTAAGCTCAAGACTATGTACTCTCGATTTCAACCCATATGTCTTACCTCAACATGACGTGGATTTATGGATTGGTGAAGCGCGCTCCGCTTCGCCATGCTGCGGTCGCATTGTTTAGCGTGACTTGGCGCCAAAAACAACGAAGCAAAGTTTTTCCACATTGTTCTTGTTGCCATACCACGCCCAAGATGCGCCCGCGAGGTGGCTTGCGTCACGTAGCGGACGCATCTTTGGCGTGGTGTTGCAACAAGAACAATGTGGAGAAGTTTTGCTACGTTGTTACGTGCTACACAAGCAAGGCGGCGCCCCAACTTACATTAGTTTGAACGGACAAATGAGTTGAGGTCAAGGGTAGGCTGATCCAATAATAAAAGATGAGCTTTTTGCAAGAAAAACTACTTCTAGCAATTCATTTTAGTTTTTACAACCACCCCAATATTAGTGGCGCTCTCAAGCAAAGCCATTGTGATATCCGTATTAGTGTGAATGACCCTTTTAAACTTCTTTGCACTCACTTTGTTATGTGGAATAGCAGTGAAACTAACTTCTGAAATGATGAAGAATACCAGTGGCTCCTAAGCACGCAGCGACCACAATAAGGATTAAGATGAGCACCAAAAAATAGTAAACGTGTTGTTCTAAGAAAAGTAGTTCTGCTACTTGATTGTTCTATAAAAATGCACTATAAAATTGAAAAAATTCGTACAAAGAAAGCGCGCAATCTGGCAACATTCATTAAAAGCATTCAAACATGAGTAAAAGACTAAAAAAGAAATGAATACAAAGGAGATTGAAAAGAACTTAGTGTAAAATAAGAAAAACTTTTTGCACATCTAACGAACAACTCTCGCGCTTCTAGCATTCGCTCCGGGACCTTTAGTTGTCTTGGTGCCGATCCGGACTTGGATTACTCTTTTTAGGCTGCGTTCATACAGATTCCGAAGTCCGAGAACAGTTTTAGCACAGCGCTCAGTTCAAGCGCTGTGCTGGAACTGTTTCCGAACTTTCAGATCAGTATGAACTCAGCCTAAACCGCACGAGCGGATGCACGTCCGGACATATGCGGCTCTCTCATGCCTGCGCGCTCGCTCTTCGCTGGTCCGGCGAGTACGGCGCTCGTCCGACATATGTGCCCTCTTGGCCGAACATCTCACAAGGAAAGAATACTTAGTCGAAAGTACCAATCCAAATGAGCCATATATCATCTCAAAGCGCTTGGAACGCTGACTCCAAATCTATAGTTTCCAGCTGCGGAGCGGTTTTGTGGAAGGAGTTATGAGGGGTGTTTCCCTTTGAGGTTGAGGCGCCCTTCCAAATGTCAGCTCTTGTCTACGAGCACTATAGAAACACAAAAAGGTGTCGACTGGCATAGTGGTAAGTAACTTGAATGAAGACTACAATAAGGATTACAATACTTCGGGGTTGAGACGTCCCCCAGCAGGTCTCCTTCATCTATGAGCTCCGCAAAAGGTACCAAGTGGCCTACTGGTAAGTGACTTGATTGATAAGGAAGGTGTCAAAGTCTCAATCCCTTCGCATGGAACTTTACCGCAGTTTTCGCAAAATTGAGCTTCTGAATGGTTGGGGAACTCTAATAGAATTTTCGATGATATTGATCTTAATCGAAATTAGAAGTGTTAAAGAACTACGTATTATGAGTATTGTAATCCTTATTGTAGTCTTCATTCAAGTTACTTACCACTATGCCAGTCGACACCTTTTTGTGTTTCTATAGTGCTCGTAGACAAGAGCTGACATTTGGAAGGGCGCCTCAACCTCAAAGGGAAACACCTCTCATGACTCCTTCCACAAAACCGCTCCGCAGCTAGAAACTGTAGATTTGGAATCATCGTTTTAAGCGCTTTAAGGTGATATGTCTCTCATCTGAATTGGTGCTTTCAACAAGGTATCCTCTCCTTGTCAGTTCGCGGGCCGTTCAGCCCAATTTTTGTCTGAGATTGTTGCGCTATGATCACACTGGAGCCCCTTTGAAAGAAACCCTCTCAAAACCTTCCACAAGCTTCTTGAGACATTCGCGCGTTCGTGCCTCAATCATCAACAGCACCTAATAACCAAAAAATTCATATATTAAGTACTTAAGTGATCTGCATATATAAAGTATTCAAGTGATCTGAGTGCAGTACCTGCTTAATCTTTTGATACAATGAGAAACTTATTAGGTCGGTAAGAAAGTCCTCGGACATTTTCAGGCTAAAATTGTTATTTATCATGCTGTAATGCGTACATAATGCGAAAATTTGTAGTTGTACTCTCTCACTACGTTGCTTATACCTGCGCAGGTTGGAGGTGAGTAGGGCCATTAGGGGCGGAGTTTGCCACTTTTCGATTACCTCATATTTCCTGATAATCAAGTTCGAATTCCATTCAAACTTTGCACATTTGTATATGAATTCATGTCTACTACGTATTCGAGTATTTATTTGTGAGTGTCGCAACGTTTAAGGAAGGTAGAGACCTGACAAGGAAATGGTCAGAAGTCGAAGTGGCCAAACCGAACAAGCTGTATACCATTCGATGCAGTATAAAACGCTGACTTCGAATCTGTCTTTTTTATCTGCTTCCCGCTTCTGTGGACGAAGCTACAAGAGGTTTTATTGTGAAAAAATCACACATAAATACAGCGAAATTGAGCACACTGTTGCACTTTTAGCTCAGCTTCTTTTTTTAAAAATTCGAAGTAGGCTACCTGCATGTTTTGGCCCAGCATTAAGACTAACGTGGCTCACCACGGCTAAATTTTCAATTTCACGCGTAATTTCTTAGCAAAATAATGGTCTTTAATGGCTTGTAGCTTCGTCCACAGAAGCGGGAAGCAGATAAGAAAGACAAATTCGAAGTCAGCGTTTCATACTGCATCGAATGGTATACAGCTTGTTTGGTTTGGCCACTTCGACTTCTGACCATTCCCTTGTGAGTTCTGCCGAAATCTTATGTCTTCGCATTTCCGCCTCTGTTTCCGCAAGATTCGTTGCTTATGCTCGTGATTAGTATGGCCTTGTAGTGTTTGTTTTCCTCTATTCGATGATGTGATGCATGCCTTATTTGGTGCTCGCATTGAAGCAAAATCTTTATCTAGATGCAATGTCCGATAACTTTTCTACCAACCCAATAGTTTTTGAAAAGTCTTTTCATTGCTGCTGCAATCGACAGAAGGAAAGTGAGACAAGCAAAATCAAACTGATGCTAAACTTTATGTCTCATTCGGCTTTCTTCGCGCATCTTCGTTGCTATATGGGTGATCAGCTACGGCCGCTTAATAGTAACACCAAGTTGCTAACTTATGTCTTCTTGAACCCATGGTTGTTTTAGAACTTATGTAGCAACAATAAAAGGACTTTTCAAAAAAGTAAGCTTCTCAGTTTATCAAAAGATTAAGCAGATACTGCATCTGTGTGCGTGTTATCAAACCGCATGTCATAGCGGAGCCCAAGAGGCACTTATGTTGGAAACGTCAGGAAAAGAAGTTGTGTTAAGTAACTTGCAAAGCCCGACTTGCCTTTACGGCAGCATTAACAACTCCGAGGAATTGTCTGTAATAGAACGGCTTAACTGACCAAGATAAAGACGATATCCCTTAACAATTAGAAGAAACTTCGAAAGAAGTTGCAAAAGTTGCTTTCAACAGATAAGATCGCATAAACTACGTGTTAAGGGTGTTAGCGACAGCAATCACAGCCAGCATCATACTGTTGCATTCAACTGAATATGAGAACGTGATCTTCTCCAAAGTCTTCGTATACATTGGAGACGTTTCTTACACACTTTATCTTACACATTGGCCCATGTATATATTTCTACGACATCATTTTGGAGAAAGTTTTTCAGGTAAATAAACTAATCAACTTCATTAAGGAATAGTATCTCTTGGTATGCCGAGTGAATAAGATGATTACAAGATTGAGAAATGATTGCGTCAAATGTTACGCAGAAAATTTATTATAGATAAAAAATCACAGATTGTTACTTGGCTAATACTTGATTTACGGCAGTTATCCACATGCTTTCACTACAATTGCATGGTGAGGTCTTTTCGTAGACTTACAAAAGCAAATTCTGAGATTCACCTGCTTACCGTCACGCATGCCGGTAAGCATCCGTGATCCACTCTATACACTTCGCTATTGGTCAAATCAGTGAAATGACCAATGGTGAAGTGGAA